TATGTTCAACTGCTGTTCGAAAAAGCGAAAAATCTAGCTGTATGCAAAATTCTAAGGCGAACTGTTGCTACTCAGTGCAAAAAAACTTCTAGAAAAGTGATGATCACCGAGGGCTAGTACGGTTTTGTCAATCGCCTACCTCAAACACCGGAATCAAAATCTCTTCGTATTCGCTCCTCCTCCCCCGCCCCCAAAAAAAAAAAAAAAAAAAACCTCAGAAGTTGTCCAAGTGGTGGAGCGCGCTAAACTAACTGTCCTCTATCAAATATATCGGCGGCTCCCTGTACATACATTAGCCGCCTATTTTGTACATACATTAGGCCCTAAGCCAGCATCAATTCGAGATTGAAACTAATGGCGCGGAAAAGTTGGTTTCGGCCGAGTTTCGGCCCCTCAAGTTTCAACTCAAGAGCAATACTACATGGTCTTGCGCGCCTCAAATATAACTTATTAAAAAAATAAGCCAAAAAATAAAAAAAAAATCTGGGAAGAACAGGTCTCGAAGACACCAAATGGTACCTAAAAAACGCAGCCAACAGTTCAATACAACGAAAAATTCACGAGATAATGGCCTGGCACAACTCTGCTGGTCAATCCCGGAACTAGCACTCACTCACAGCATCTCAGTATCATCTACCTGGAAGGGCCTAATAAAAATGACCAAGTGAAGCCCTAAACAACGGTCAAACATTCGCAGATTTCGTAAATCATGATTTTAGCCGTTTTCGCGCCTTGTTTGTGTTCCAGGGTGAAACAAGTAAGATTAACCAAGTAAAGTCCCCTTGTCAGTCGATACCCTTCGCTGAATGGGCCGCTGTTCCTGGCCCTGGTTACTATCCTCTTCCATTCCCTCACAGGGCCTTTGAGGCCCGTACTGCCTTCTACTTACTTCCAAGAAGCGGTCAAGAGCGTACTTTCATAAATTCAAATTTTAGCCCTTTTCGTGCCTTGATGGAACAAACAGTGCAAAATACGGAACTGGCGCTTTTCAAATGAAGGACGGTCGAAATATCATCGCAATACCGACTGTACACCTCCAGAACTATTGCCAAAACAGCGCATAGACGTGCCAGATCACAGATGAACTTGACATTAGTGATTTATAGCAGTAGTTTCCGGTTTCTCGGAATCATCAGTGTTGTTCGTTTTTGGGAATCTTTTCAGCCATTCGCTGTCTGTTTCAGAATCTGTGTCACTCAGACTCGTCAGCACACTGGACAGCTCACTCAGTTCGGATTCCGACTCCGATTCCTCATCCGTCTCCTGCATCACTTCCAATTCAAATTTCGATCTTTTAGGTGGCACCACCTGCAGCGGTTCCACATGTCCAGTGTTACGCGCCTCATTGACATATACTTTTCGCAAAGCTTCCGCACCAAATATTTCCATGAATTCAGGGTCCTATAAAATTCACCTTGTGTTACAACTGTTCTAAAACCTCTAGATGTTCCCATAAAGTAACTTATGAACAATATGCGAAACACGCTTTTTCATGGCTTTCCGCACAGAATGTATACTCGAGCCCAGTGATTCACGAAAATGAGAATTAGAGGGAGAATCAAACCGGCACAAACATGATCAATACGTAAGACGTGAAAGTTTTGGGGGGAAAATTGCCAACTCGGGAACGAGAAAAGTTAAAAAGCTGAAACTTCAGGGGAATGCCCTCTACTCATGCACAACCAAAAGATTTCAAATTCAGCCCCTTAGAAACACCTAGGACTCATGTACGGACACGTGAGAACTTCAGCAGAAAAATTCCTAAGTCGGGAACGAAAAAAGCTGAGAAGCTGGAATTTTAAAGGAATGTCCCCCACCAATGTGCGACTAAAAGATTTCAAATTCAGCTCTTCTCGTGGCATCTTTTTTGCGCACGAGCAACTTTCCGTTTGCCGGTCACTGAAGCCAACATCTACAACTGACATGCCACACAGCTGCACAATTACCTTTTTGAACTTCAAGTATGTCACCAGTACGTCACAAATTCTAGCAACTGTGTTCCCCTGTAATCTTGCTGCAGAATGAAATAATGCAAAAATGCATGATCGCACTGGGCCGGCTGGTGTGGGTTGCTAATGATTTCATGACTAACTTCCTAAATCTTCATGGAATGGCCTTGAGTTTACGATTCTTACTTTCATAAATCCAACAGCTTGCAGGCCCAGTTCCGACCATTTATTATATCATGGTTTTAAACTGCGATGCTAAGAGTTACGAAGTAAAATGCGGGAAAATTAACAGCATACCTGGTTGTTGAAGCGTCTTGAAGACCTGGCAAGAGCCTGCTTTTCATCATAGCTTGAGGAAATGAAGCCTAAAAAATAGACACTACCACAATAATCATGCTTTTGTAGCATGTGAAAGCAATGCCAATGTCACCAGCAACGGCTAACCAGCACGAGATTTGCTCTGTTCAGAGCGACGAACAGAAATTTTTCAGTTACATCGATGGCTCAAAGACGCTCTACGACGAACTTTGTCAGCTAACAAACTGATAAAGCAATGAGGTTGTAGTAACAACTATACACATAAAATATAAAAAAATTGGCCAACGCACGGGCTGCCCGTGCGAAGATGCGTTTTTTGCAGAGTTCCCC